AGAGTGTGTTGGTGATTTGGTTGTCTGCTCGGAGCCAGTAGGAGAATACATGGCTTGTGATAGGGGTGGAGTTATGATGACCTGGTTGTTGGAAACAAAGTTCGATCCTGAAGGTACTGCTGTCGGGCTAAAAAGGCCAGTATGTTCTCCAGCCACTCTACCCCCGGGGCCTTCTGAGAATTCCTTCGTGGGAGAAGGCTGCCTGCTCATTGGAGGTGTGTTTGACGGCCCAGGGATCCGTGAGGTAACGGAGTTAACGGACTTGTAGAACCGCGTTGGCCGGTTTCCTGAAGTTTGTTTGGGCCCCTCTTCTGCCGTTGATGTATTGGGGGTTCGCTGGTTCACATTTACACTTGGAGCTGGAGATTGGGCCCTGCTGGGGGATAATGCTCTATCATCCGAAAAAGCTCTGGCTGGTGAAAGCACTGTTTCAGGAGAGAAAGGCCGGTTGCTCATTGGGGGAGACGGTTCATCATATACTCCTGAGTTCAAGTGAGGAACGGAGCCGTTCACTGTATTATGATTTGAAAGAGCACTTGGGGTGTTTCGTTGTAGGGCATCCCGGTTTTCTACTGACTGAAATTGCCTGGCATGGGAAGCAGTAGCAGTGTGAACTGTTGGTATGGCAGGCTCTTCGCTCGTAGGACCGTTGTTATTCTTATTTTTGCCATGCAGTAGATCAAACTTCAATGTTTTGAACATCTTGCTGCCTTTCTTTAGCGCAGGGGATGAGGGTCGGTCTGCTGGTTGCCCCTTGCTGCGTCCCAGGTTAACCTTCGACATGATGCCAGTAAACCCAAGGCTGGACCGGCGCTTTTTCTGCTCATCTGGAGGATGGTAGACACCGGGATCAGGGCAACCCGCACCCACTTGGGAATAGTAGTAGTTGGCATTTCTGTCGTTAGTCTGCTGGTTGTGCGTACGGGGAGTAGCCGCTCCCGGAGCCTGGATGGATATTCCAGAGCCATTTGTGTCTGTGCGTGCATGGGTAGATGGCAACGGGGACACGCTGCGCTGGTCTGTCTGAGCCCAGGTTCGTGCATGGGCTGGATGGACTGGGTTGCTGGGCAAGCTGTTCGACACATCTGTAACGGGAGGTGGAGGAACAGTTCCGGGAGGAGGAAACTTGTACTCAGATTGCCAATTTGTAGTCTGAGGAGTAGAGCTTCCTTGCTGGTGGTCTACTAGTGGAGGGCTGTCTATGGGCGGACTGATTTCCGGTTCTAGTTCAAACGAGAATTTGCGGAGGCCCAATCCCTGTTGCTGTTCTGTAGCATCTGCCGGCAGATTTTGCTTCTGATTACCATTGGTTACAATTATCTCTGCTTCAATCTGCTTGGAGTCATCGAGTGTATCTGCCGAAGAAATGACAGAGGACTCCCGCGTGGGCTTGACGTCCACTTCAGACACGGCAAACGATAGTCTGCCCTTTTCAATATCCTTTTCGTCTGCGAGCACTGAGACAACGCCTGACTCCCCACTGCCTCGGTCACTGGCTGTGGCAGAAACGGGTTCAATATTTGGGGTAGAAGTTGGAAGGTTGATCTCTGGTATACCAGGGCTCTGCATTGGCTGGTCAGGCAGTGGCATAGGCTGATTGTTGGGCACATCAGTTTGCACATGAGGTTCTGAAGTTTCAAGAGTATGAGAAACGGGGCGCTCCTCCGTAATTAATGCCAGACCACGACCACTATATCGTTTAGAATCTCGTGGTCTCTTCTCGTCACCGTTAGACATAATATGAGCAACTTCGCCCATAAAGGAGACCGAGAATGGCTGGCTATCGAATTTTAGCGATTTGACACGAGGGATTGTCTCTGGAATTGTCAGTGAGTGTTGTTGTTGTTGCTGTTCATGCTGTTGTTGCTGCTGAGGTTGTTGTTGATGCTGATATTGACTACCAATACTAAGTCGAGAACCTTCAAACTCCGACTGCACAGAATTATGTGGCATCGGAGGAGAAGCAGGAGGAACAATTTGACCCTACAAAATAGCCGTATATTAGACTCGCTATGTGACTTCGTAAGATATGACCGATACAAAAAGAGGGGGGTAAGCCAGAATTCCCCCCCCGGCATGACAAAGCCCAAAGATATCAGCCGGTTCGATCTTTAACCAAAAGCCAATTTGATAGGATATGAGTTGCCAATGTATGTCGAAGAAAAGTCAAGATGTATAGAAGAAGGAAAATGGAGGGATAGTGGGGGGTGGCCATGAGGATCGTCACATTGGCCAGAATGAAGATATGTCATTCTGAAAGAAGGATGGAGGAAGAAAAGAAGAGACTTAGGTATCTACCTTGTCGGCACTTCCACTGTGTCGGAATTTACTCCTGCCCTTGGCGAAGAGGCCCTTTGCTGCATCACCAGCCTTACCACCTAGGACGCCGGCGGAGTGAAGGAGATCCTTGCCCTTTGCTTGGACGTGCTGCGTGTTCATCATTCCGCCGAGCTGGACGCCTGAGCTCTGGCGGATGTGGCCATGGCCAGGACCAGAGCCGTCATGATGTCTAGAAGGCAGAGATATGTTGCTGAGTGAGGGTAGCTTGGGGAATTTTCCTTGAGATGGTATGGGCCGGTGAGCGGCATTTGGATCGGTTGGAGCTATACCGTTTCGTTGGATTGTTTCTGCGTTGTCAGGATTGCCGGTTTCCGCTACGTTCTTGATCCATCCGTCGAGACCAGAGTCTGTGTTTGCATAGACATCTCTGGCATTGTTGAAAGCGGCTATTCTTTGGGCGGGCTGGGGGATGCTAGTTATTTCACGGAATTCAGGGGCTTTCTGATTTGACATGGATGATGCGCCTGGTTGGACAGTGTTAGGGGGAAGGGGGCTCTGGCTCTGAGTCTTTGGCAGCAGCTCTGCTTCTTTGTCTTGAGTCTCGACTGGAGTGGTGTCCTGTGGGCTCTCAGCAGCGAGAGATCCTGGGACTGGTGCACTAGTTGTGGCTTCATTTCCACTGCCACCTGTGGGCTGTTTATTAATGACCAATGCTCCTGGGGTCAGGGTGGCTGAAACAGGTGACAGCGGGGATAGGGCCTGTTCTCTGTCACTCTCCTCTGAGTCAACCTCCCAGGAAAACTTCTTTTTTAGCTGTCTCTGAGGCTGCTGCTGCTGCTGCTGCTCGTAAGTAGGGATGGAGATGGTAGTGTGGGGATGATCCAGGCCATGGGGAGATGGGTAGTTATCCTGGAGTTGTGTATACGCATACTGCGTTGGCTCCTCACCTGAAGCAGCGGAAGGAATGTCAGCTTTCTGTGCAGATTTCTGTACCGGAGAGCTCTCATCGTGTTCTTGGGCTAGAGGTGGAGGTTCAGTCTGTTGTTCTGTCGTCTCTGTGGCAGTGTTTGGGAGCGTGTTTGGGTCTATCGAGCTTCGTTTACTCATGCTAAGAGGCGAGACATCCAGACCAGCGATGTGTGGTCCTGAAGAGTCGTCTTCTGAGACCGTGTTACGCGACGGAGTGTGAGTCTCGATGTCACTGTGACCTGCTGCGTCTGGACAGTCCAAGGCAGAAGATGGTGAGTGACCGTCTCGGCTCTGTTCACCTTCAGAGGATATAGATTTTTTAGGGTCTGTGGGTGCTGTATGAGCAGAATGATTTGAGGATGGCTCGTCACCACCTACGTGTTCTTCTCTGATAGTAGGGACCTTCTCTGCGGGTTCTCCAGCCAGTGCATGTGGGCTTGCTGTCGTTCCAGACTTGTCACCACTGTCCATGAACCCTTCAAACCCAGAGAGTCGTCGTAACTCGGGCAGCTGGCCTATGGGAGGCTCTGCGGTGTCGTTTGGCAGCGGTATCGAGGCCGTCTTGCCGCCATCAGGGCCAGCTGGAGCAGACGCTTCAGTTCCTGTGGTCGCTGCAGCTGTGTCTTGAACAGCAACTGTCGAAGCTGACGGCGTGCCAGCAGCTCCCACAGAGCTCCCCGAGCGAGTACTTCCCCGCTCTTCAGCCAGCCGTTTGTATATATCCGCCGGCCTGACGATGTTTGGCGACTGAGGGTGTCCGGTAGTAGTAGTAGTAGAGTTGTCTGGCTGGTCTTCCTCATCCTCGTCCTCGCTTTCTCCCCACTCGTCACCGGCGTACGAGTATTGTTTTGCATTCACCCATCGCTTGGTCTTTTGGCGATTTACATTAGTCTTCAGATCGAGGGTTTGCGCCGTTGACCAAGGGGACTCTGGGTTCTGGCCTCCCGCGGGCGATCTAGAGACACAGAAAGATGTCAGCCTCTCGACCTGTCCACCAAACAACCAACCTGGAGGACTACTTACCTGTCACCGGGGACGTAGGTCGGCTGGTAGCCAGACATGCTGCAGAGGGCGTGCAGTGGTAGTTGTGGCCTGTCGTGGTTATTATTATGGTTAAGGTACTCCCCCCAGGGACGATCTATAAGTAGTTTCGAGAAGAGGGACTCCCTGCAGGGGCTTCAGCACCACGCAGCGGCTAAGACACCAGTTCACCAGCAGAGCCCGAACCGCTCTATCGCATCTCGTCCCTCGGGCACACCAGACAGAGAGGAAGAAAACAGTTTGCTCGAGGGAAGAAGAAGCGGGAGAGCAGAAAAACGGCGGCTTTTCAGGGGATTTCGCGAAGGATGAGCTAGAGGAGTCGTTAGAGGATCACGTGAGCGAGATGACGACGTGAAGTTGAAGCCGAAGAAGAAGAAGAAGAAGAAGAGAAAACATTCACGGACAAGACATTAAAAGAAGAACGACGACGAGGAAGGACATCGATAGAAGTCACAGGCGAAGGCGAGGACAGGGAACAGCCGGCAAGAGACGCCCAGCCAGGAACACAACCCCCCCGGGGCCCCCATCCCATGTCGCCAGGGCCCGTCCAGCATCCAACACCGCTGTCCTCGACCTCGACATAATACACATAGCCACGAAGACGCTCACACAGAGAGAGAGACATACCATCGCAGAGACAGATACAGATACAGACACAGACACAGACGGGAGAGACGCACCTTGGAGACGATAGACAGGCAGACGGCACGATGGCAGCGCCCGCGCCCATCCAGGACCGGACGACGGAGTTCCGCTCGATCCTGAGCCAGGCGCAGAAGAGACTCGCCTCGTCCAAGGCCAGCGGACGGCAGAGCCTCCAGGCCAACTCGACGGCCAGGACGACCTCTGCAGACGTGCCGGCAGCGGGTGGTCGGCCGGCGCGCTCTGAGTTTGCGAGACGGGCGGCAGAGATCGGGCGTGGGATAGCGTCGACGACGGGGAAGCTCCAGCGGCTGGCCCAGTGTAGGTCTCCTCTTTATTACTTTCTAATCTAGAGACCAAGAAGACCGAGACGGTATATACAGGTAGCTGACAGGGCGCAGTGGCCAAGCGGAAATCGCTGTTCGACGACAGACCGGTCGAGATATCCGAGTTGACATATGTGATCAAGCAGGATCTCTCCTCGCTGAACTCCCAGATCGCCTCCCTACAGTCCCTTACGCTGGCCCAGCACCCGAAGTCGTCACGGAGCAAGACAGACCACGAGGGAGAACACAATGACAATGTATGTGCTTGTACATCTGGGGGACTTTTTTTCGACTGTCAATATGGCACTCTAGGCTAACTTCTATTTGTCAGGTCGTTGTGCTGCTGCAAGGGAGACTGGCGGACGTGGGAGCCAACTTCAAAGACGTGCTGGAAGTGCGGACGAAGAACATCCAGGCCTCCCGGTCACGGACAGAGAACTTTGTCTCCACTATTTCATCGAGATCGCACGCCCTCGACCCCCAGCGCTCCGACTCCCCGCTGTATAACAGCGGTAGTAACAGCAACCTCAACAACGCCAAAGGCGGCGGCGGCGGCCTGTCTCGCAGCCGGAGCCCGCAGCCAGGCTACCGCCCGGGCTCGGCGGACGTGCTCACCCTGGACACGTCGTCGAACGGGACGGCCGCCTCGTCCGGGCTGGGCCCAATGCACTCCGACCAGCAGCTGCTGATGATGGAGGAAGCCCAACCTTCCAACACCTACATCCACGCGCGCGGCGAGGCCATCGAGGCCATCGAGCGCACCATTAACGAGCTGGGCGGCATCTTCGGCCAGCTGGCGACCATGGTCAGCGAGCAGTCCGAGATGATCCAGCGCATCGACGCCAACACCGAAGACGTCGTCGACAACGTCCAGGGCGCCCAGCGCGAGCTGATGAAGTACTGGTCGCGTGTCTCGGGCAACCGCTGGCTGATCGCCAAAATGTTCGGCGTCCTCATGGTATGTCCCTATCTTCCACTATCTATCCCTATATACATATACATATACCTATATATATAGATGATGCTGACTGCAACAGATATTCTTCCTTCTCTGGGTCCTTATCTCTGGGTAACCGAGCTGGCGCTTGTTCCCTCATGTATATTACCTTCTAGCCACCGTCTTAATCATGTCTTCTGCATCTTCGTCCACTTTTCTTCCACCTCGTCGTCCCTTTTTAGTCCCTTTTTAGTCCCTTTTTTGCCCGTAAAGCGTCTCATCTATGTCTTAGTAAGCGAGCATGTTTCAACCTCATCCCTCAGTATAACGGGGCTCTCCCTGGCACTCCCGCTGCTGACTCAGCCAGCCCTCTCCTCCCACCCCGATAAAAAGTGCTCCTCCATCCAACCTCTCGTATGTATAAAAGACGAAACTCGCCCTTTTTGACATTCTTTCTTCCTCCAGCGAAACCAACACAAAAACAAAACACACAAAAAAATAAACATGAGATCTCCCTTTTTCTTTCGCTGACTTCGTCGATCATCCCCAGCGCATTCATCCCAGCGAGAAGTGGCTGGACCAAGAATGATCAGCCTCTCTCCCCCATCGACGCTCGCGGCTCCCCAAGCCCCCTTGGTGCTACCAATGCACAACCCAGAGATATGACCCGATCCCCTCCCCGGGCTGCTCCTCACCCTACCAACACCTACTACGAAGACGTAGAGACTCGCTTCACCAACACCTCGAATCCTGATCCCGCCTTTATACCGTCTGCCCTAACCCCAGGCAGCATTGCCCCGGAACCTGACCAGAGGACTTCTGTCGATGCCGTGCATGGCATGCGCTCTCCTGTCAGCGACATTAGCCACTTCACCTCCATCTCCCAGCGCGGAATCAACCCCAAGTGGCAGCCGCCGGAGTGGGACAACCCCCGAGAAAAGGTGCAGAAGCAGCGTGAGGCGCTTCTGGTCAATAACCCTGACTTCCAGCTTTCCACTGATGTAGGCCGGTCCAACTCTGCAAGACGCGGTGGCAGGATGCCCCAGGTCCCGGCAATGCCACCGATGCCTGCTATACCACCAGTCTACACGCGCAGCTAAACAAACAGCTGGTCTGGGTTTCAATATTTTTTGCTTCTCTCTATTCTCTTGTTATCCATATGTCATGCGTTCCAGGGCCACAAAGTATCTTTTATTGACAACATCCCTTTCTTTCTCCTTTGAACCATTGCTTTCACCTGTACATTCTTCTTGCTGTGTATGTATGTTGACACCTTATGGGTATGCTCCTTTTCTCTTTTTCTATTTCTCCTTCTATTTCTTCTTCTCTTTCTTCCTCTCTTTCTTCTCTTTCTTCATCTTTATTTTTAACAGCCATTGTCTTGATGGCTTCTTTGAACAGGGCTGGGACTAGGTGTTTGGAGTTTCTAGGTTAATAAGGGTTGGCAGGATCTGTACACTGGCCATAAGAGGGTATAACGGATATGAAATAACCTTGTTAAGTCATCGATTTTGGCATCTTGTATCTACACTATGTATATATTCTTATTTTAAATATGATCCTTTCAAATATTGTGGTAAGTGTCCTTTGTAGAATCAAATATGCAAATTGGGTGTGACGCGAATTAGGGAACTTTTTCCTCCTTTATCTATAAATTTGAATGTTGCTTCTGTCAAAAACATATCCTTCTTTCTTTTACCTCCGATCATCACCCATCCCCAGATAGTCCAATTGATGTTGCAGTCCACAGATAGTGGCAGCTGGGAGCAAAATGGTAAGATTGCAGCTTATGTTTTAAGGGCTGTATATTATATATATTGGCAGATGTGCCATGCTAACTGGAAATTTCTAACAGCTTCGCAGAAGGATGATTAAAAAGGCGATTCAGATACATGGTAAGAGCGAAGAAAAAAGCAGACCATCTTTAGAAGAAGCGATATTTGAAGGACACAGCTAATATCTCTCAGAGGCCAGATCAGAAGCTATAGCCAGATCAGACATCGGCCAAGAAGCCGAAACAGACACCAAACAGCGAGTGGAATGTGGAATAGACATCATGGAAGCCGGAACCAGGCCAGAATCTAGGCCAAAAACACAATCGGCGACTGAACCAAAACCTGATCCCAAGGACGAGCTGGAATCCAAAACAGAGCCCACCACTTCCGACCTTGAGGATATGCACATTCAGGGAGAGCTGACAGAGCACCTGAAGCTTGTCGAACCTGGCCAAGCTAAGGAAACCCCATCTGTCAACCCTTTGATCGAGCAAATGAAGACAACTCCACTGTTTTCTTCTCAAATCAAGGGTGTCGTTCACCCTGCTCTCTTAGGTGCCAGCACGATGGATTCATTATTTCCTCAGTACGGTTTGCTCGGGCTCCGGCTCGCCAGTTACACACCCGGTAGTGACGAAGAAATTGCTGGCATTGGAGGAGCAAAGAAAAATCTGGTATACGCCAACATCAACGCTCCCTGGTCAACATTCATTTGCGGAAGTCAGGGCAGCGGCAAAAGTCATACACTTCCCTGTATGCTGGAAAATTCGTTGTTGCTACCATCACAGACCGGCAAGGTCTCGAATCAGTTAACTGGTCTAGTGCTCCATTATGACAAGTTCACCAGTTTGGACACGGGCCAGCTTTGCGAAGCAGCATATCTGTGTTCTGTAGGTATACCAGTACGAGTTTTGGTATCACCGAGCAATCTGCAACGCATGACCCAACTGTACTCAAACCTGCCGGGTTTGCCCAGTGGCTGTCCCAGGCCAAAAGTGGAGCCGATGCTCTTCAACGAAGACCACCTTAGTATTGGAATGATGAAATCGTTAATGGCTATTAGCGATTCAGAAGGCACACCATTATACATGGAGGTAGGGCCATCGTTTCTTAGAACCCTGGATTAGGGATACCTGCTAACCTACCTACCTAAGATGGTGACCAAGATTCTTCGAGATATGGCAAAGGAGTCCAATGGCCAGCGAGGCATCGATTTTCAGGACTTTGAAACAAGAATCCGAGAGAAATCAACGCTAAGAGGCCAATGTACGGCGCTGAACATGCGTCTGGACCTTCTCCGCTCTTTTCTTGAAGTTAGACTCTCTAGGAAAGGCAAACCCATATCTCGGAAAAGTGATATCTGGAGCTTTGAGAAGGGTAGCCTAACCATCATCGACTTGAGCTGCCCATTTGTGGACGAGAACGACGCGTGTGCATTGTTTAATATCTGCATAGGTATATTCCTTGAGGGCCGTGGAAAAGGAGGCCGTGTGATTGCCCTTGACGAGGCTCATAAAGTACGCCAACCCACATATTTCTGCACTACCTTTCAGACCATACATGGGACGCTGGCTGACATGGACGAATAGTATCTGACAACCAAGAGCCGCGAGGCAGTGACTTTGACAGAAACTATGTTATCTCTAATTAGACAACAGCGCCATCTTGCCACAAGAGTTATCATTGCAACTCAGGAGCCAACGCTGTCCCCAAACCTCCTGGATCTCTGCAATCTTACTGTTGTACACCGATTCAGCTCCCCGGCCTGGTTCAAGGCATTAGAAGGGCATCTTGCAGGAGCCATTATGGACGTCAGCGCATCTCGTGCCTCTAAGTACAGTACCGGGAGCCTCTTTTCCCGTATTGTCGGCCTGGGAACAGGAGAAGCTTTGGTGTTCTGTCCCAATGCCATATTGGACGTCAGCCACGCCAACAACGCAGAGCTGGGGGGCGATCCCTCAACCCATCAAGCTGCCCAGTCTATCATGGCCGAGCAGGGCTCATCGTACTTCAAGATGAAGGTGCGCAAACGGATAACGGCAGATGGTGGACGTAGTATTCTTGCTCAGTAAAGGGACATCTGCTGCTAGCCATCATCCATCACCCCACAGTTTCTTTCATTCTCCTTTTCCTTTCTTGGCTATCCGTTTGCCATCCTATGACAAGTCATTCTGTAGAGTAGAGACAACCAGAGACGGATCAATGACCTCTTTGTTATCCTCTTTTTCTTCTTCTTCTTCTTCTTCTTCTTCTTCTTCTTTCACTTCGTCTTCGACTGTTGTTTCTATCAAGAAGTAAAAATGACGTTGGAAAAAGAGTGAACACGTGATGTTATATTAGTCATCAACACATGACTCGGTCAAAAGACTAAAAAGCAAAACCTTAAAAAGCAGCGAAAGGAAAAAAAAAAAAAAAAAAAAAACATCAAGAAAAAAGTGACACCAACAACAGGAGAAAAAGATCAAGCCGTGGAGGATGAACCAATAACACGCCAGGAGCAGAGAAAGATGAACTTCTGGATGACGAGGAGAGATGAAACGTGAGATTCTGGGGTTGACGCAGGGTGGGATCCCGCCTGTCCGCACGCCACACCGGGATCCAGCAGCGCCGCAGAACCTGACACCAGGTCCGGGTGTGCTTCTAGTATGTCACTGCGGCTGCCGTGTGCACATCTGATGGTGGCTGTGGTTACACCGTTTTGGAGGCAGATGTTTCCTCGGCTTCGAATTGGCCCAGCAACAGCCCTCCCACGTATACCCGGCCTATTCGCATGATACGACATATCGAGGGCTGATGCTTTCGCTATCATGTTACTCCCGCTCACGCTATATCAAGCGTCCTCCATGAGGCCCCTTTCTGGTATAAGAAGTTGCCTCTTAAGTCCGAGAATGGTGTCATCCGTAGACCCTGGCTTCTTCGTGATGGCAGATCGATGAGATCCCCCCCCGTCTTCTTCTGCCCTTTGCAAGGCATACACCGATCCATGAGGGTGTATAACTCCCCTAGATGACCAGACGTCTTCACCTCTTGGGTAGTTGAAGGAATGGATGTTGAAGGTCTCATCAGACATACCATCCACATATGCCATCGTCGTTTGTTTCCCGCTCAAAGAGCATTCCTCGTCTCCACAGAAATTTCCGAAATGTGATACCCCTCCAACCACTTCACCGTTTGACGGTCAGTGGACTTGTTTCTAATGGCTGTTTACCTATTCTTGTCCCAGCTCATGGCAAAAGCCGTCCTCTTTCCTCCCACGTCACCTTACCGCCAATAGAGTTACTCTGGCTTCGATGACCTGAGTAAAAATAATATCATCCTCAGGGGTCATCTTTAGTGCATGGTTCGCCGTTCATACACCCCCAACTCGATGGACAAAACTCTGGTTTGTTCCCATGGCACATGGCCTTGCGTTTGCCGTAGCCATTATGGATATGATTGAAATATATAACACATCTTCATCTCAGCGTTCTCAATTTCGTACTATAAATCCAACTGCTTTTCTTACTACATCGTCTTGACACTCATCGTCCTACCTGCTGGTTAGGTTTTCTTTATTAACACTCCTTTTTCAATGTCTTCCGTGAAGAATATCCTCTCCTTCGTGGCCCTGTTCGCAGGTGTCAAGACGGCATATGCCGGTCTGAATTCTCCAGGCCATAACAATGTCGCTATATACTGGGGTTTGTACCTTCTATCGCCGGAAACATAGAGTTACTTTTTTCCAGGCCTCCATTTCATTTGCACAGCAACATACTGATGCGAGTGTTCATGGTTAGGACAGAATTCCTTAAATCAAGGAAATGGAACACAAGCACAGCAGCGATTGAGCTACTACTGCGAAAGCAAGTTATCCTCTTACTTTTAGTTACTGTCATTTTTATTAAAGTTAAACACTCGCTAACAGACAATAACAGGCGCGGATGTTGACGTATGTTTGCCGGCCGTACCCTATTGATGCGGCTGCGACCAACGACTCCATACTTTGTGCTTGTTTTGCTAACTAATAATGAACTAAAGGTAATTCCGCTTGCCTTTGCCGTATCGATCAAAGGTCCGGGAGGAGTCCCACAAATCAACTTCTCCAACCAGGGTGACCCCTGCAAGCCATTCCCAGGAACAGACCTCCTGCACTGTCCACAAATTGGGTATAGGACCACCTCTATACATTTGACAAATATCATTAAGGGGTATGCAGGCTAATAAGAAAAATAGCGAGGATATCAAGACCTGCCAGAAGAAGGGAAAGACCATTCTTCTATCTATTGGCGGAGCGACATACAGTGAAGGCGGCTTCCGTTCTGCCGAGGATGCCGTCGCTGGCGCCAACCTGTTGTGGGATACGTTTGGACCGGTAAAGTCGTCGAACTCTTCAGTTCTTCGCCCGTTTGACGATGCAGTGATCGATGGATTTGATCTCGACTTTGAAGCCACCGTGTTGAACATGGTCCCTTTTGCCAAGCAGCTTCGCACTTTGTATGATGCTGAGAAATCCAAGACCTTCTACCTGACTGCTGCTCCTCAATGCCCTTACCCAGATCTCTATAATAAGGAGATGCTAGAAGGAGGCGTCAAATTCGATGCGCTCTTCATACAGTTCTACAACAATTTCTGTGGCCTCAATAACTTCGTCCTCGGCTCCCAGTCACAAGACAAGTTTAACTTCGCGGAATGGGACAACTTTGCTAAAAAGGTGTCTGCAAACCCAGATGTCAAAATCATGGTTGGCGCTCCTGCAAACAAGGGGGCCGCGAGCTCCGGATATATCGATGCTCAAACCCTCGTCAGCGTCATCAACTGGAGTAAAACCTTCTCCAGCTTTGGCGGAGTCATGATGTGGGACGCCAGCCAGGCTTGGGCCAATGGCAACTTCACTTCGGCAGTAAAGGGCGCTTTGAGTGCAGGGAACTCCCGCGTTGTTCGCATGTCATACGCCGGTTATCATTCCGGATACTGAAATGAACCCAGGCATATTTGAGCTAACATCGCGACGGATTGGGTCAGCGGACGGACCCGTACGGAGTAAGCGGATCCAAGAGGACCCCTCGCGCTGAATGAGCACGAGTACGGAGGGCATGTATGTCATTGGCTTCGGATGTGTTTCTTTCTTTTTCTTTCTCCTCGCTTCAAGCTGTCAGCATTGTATATTTGTTTTTTCATTGTCCATTTTTCCGTCAAATCCATCTGGGTAACTATTATTACCTTGCTGTCGTTAACTAGTTCCTTTGTTGTATATACTATCTTTCTACCCAGGTCACACCCTTTTATTATACCTTGACGTATTAACTTCTATCGAATCTCCTCGGATAACTGTTCGATGGCAGATTGTACGTCCTTGGGGTTATTTCTCCCATATTACGGAGTAGTTAACTGGTTTTCGCTTTCTCCGTATAACCGAACTAATTAGTGATGCGCCCATGAACGCCATGGCAACCCACTATCAAGCCTCGGTAGCGGTGGAAACAGGCCATATCCGCCGTCCTTAGCTGGGGACAAAAAAAAAAAAATGATATTTGATTGATACCGTACGGAATACTCCATACAGAATAGGTACAGGGGGTCGGACTTGTAACGTCGGACTTTGTTACTCCATATCATGATCAATCTCAAGACGAAAGCGCCACAATATGCGAGCTTTTGTCTAACTAATTAACTAGTTAGTTAACTAATGGAGTGACAATCCATCATTGTTCGCTCTACTTAATTACTGCAACTGCTATACCCTCCTTTAAGGACTTCTCTTTGAAGAGCCCCCTCGATGTCAAACTGTGGGCCTCCTTGTGCCTTAGTTACTGCGATGGTCAAATAGGAAAATACACCGGAAGCCCCAATCCAGTTGATGTAAACAAGATATAAACAGTTGTTCGCTATTCATTCTAACTGTAACCAGTTAGTAAAATATACAAGGGTCCTCATCTCCGCTGTGTCCTTGTGGCTTGGTAAACAAGAAAAAAGGGCCTTATAAAGCCTGCCGGGGAACTCTATAGAGAAGAGTTAGCTGGACTGGAACGACATAAATAGCCAGTCCTTCTTCGCCCTGGTGCCAGGGGGAAGGAATGAAATTCACAATCGGAAAGCTATATACTCCGTATGCCCTATACTCTATACTCATTAATTATATAGAGCATACTTGCTTCAGGAATATATATATATACCATCATGCCGCCTCCAAAGGATATCCCGAACCCTGCTGAGGATCCCGGTAAGCTCTAGCATCCCACATAACTAGCGCTAGCGCCCTCAGTTCCGTGTTGGCTCTTGTCTCCTAATAATAATAATAATAATGCGCAGGGGACTATACCATAACCAGCGACGTACATAGCGACACATACCCCGAAATCGACCCGAAAAAGCAAGATTTTACAGGCAGAGTAATTTTCATTACTGGCGCTTCGGGGGCTCTTGGCCGAGCCGCAGCCTTGTCTTTTGCCAAAGCCGGTGCATCTAAAATTGCCCTTGCCGCCCGTGCCGACCTGACCCAGGTATGCAAGGACGTTGAAGCTGCAGCAGAATCTGCCGGTCGAAACAAACCAACGGTCCTGACCCTGTACATAGACGTGAAGGATGAAAAGAGCGTGGCAGCAGCAGCCGCCCGAGTAGAGGAGGAATTCAAATTCTGTGATGTGGTCATCAACTACGCTGGAGTAGCTGGCATCCTCGGCAAGGTAGCAGACACAGATACGGCTGAGTGGTGGGACATGTTCCAGATAAACCTTTATGGGTCCTATCTCGTCGCTCGGTCGTTTCTTCCGCTGCTGGCAAAAGGCGGCGATTCTCGATATCTCATCTTGGTTGGCAGCTTCTGCGCCCACTTTGCCATCCCCGGCGTCAGTTCCTACCATATTTCGAAGCTGGGCGTCATTCGGTTGGCGGAGTGCATCAATGCTGAATACGCAGAGGAGGGCATCACTTGTATCGGCATCCACCCTGGAAACGTCTTCACCAAGCTGGTCCGTGGGATATTCGACAAAATGCCGCCTGAGCTTAAGCACGGTAAGCCCCTCGTCCACCCTGAGGCCTATGCATAATTAGACAACTAGCTGACTCGGCTGTCATCGCGTAGTATTCACCGAAACCCCCGAGCTCAGCGGCGATGCCCTCACCTACATAACGTCAGAGAAGCGCGAGTGGCTCGGTGGTCGATACGTGAACATGATCTGGGACATGCCAGAGCTCATGTCGAACGAGGAGGAGATTGTCGACAACGAGAAGCTCTTTTTCCGCCTGAAGTGCTAGGCTCTGTATACACACATCTAGGTATAGTTCGATAGACGATGGAGTGGAGGATGAAATTGCGGATGAACCTGATGCTGTCTTTTTCCTTTCGCCTGACGTCGTCACGGCGTTTAACTTGCTAGTTATTTTGTTACCTGCTGTCTTAAGTTAGCCGACTCGTCAATCGCTTAGTTAACTCGTTAGTGAGTTTCCCAGAAAGGCTAAACAAGCTTAAAAGATCCCGTGTTTGCTCCACCGCTAAGGATATGTTAAATTGCACCTCACTTCATATAAACACGCAGACATCCGCCGTTCACGCTTTGCTCGGGACAGCTGGAGGCCCCTAGCCTGTCCACTATTCGTAACTAAGTTAGCCAGAGGAAGTCCTGCGTATGCAGAGTGCCCTGCTGTGCAACGAACGAACCTGCGGCTGCGGCTGAAGACATGGATGAGCGCGGTAAGGGCAAGGCGCCCAACCCCAGCGTCGACGACGTGCCCTGTCTTCTGCCGACGAGATGGTGGTTTGCCAGCACGGCATTTCCCCTGCTAGCCGTGAGTCCGTATCATTTCCGTTGCCTTGATGGCTCTCGCTTAGCTGAAGATGACTGTGGCTAGGGAACTCTGGGCCCTATGGCAAATGCATTCAGCATCTGCTCACTCTCCCAGGACTGGAGGGCAGAGCTGGGAACCGTTGGAACCGGAAACCTTCCAAAGACCGTCAAAGACCCGTCATGGTTGTTCATCACTCGCTTAATCTGAGTCAGGATCCTTGAACAGAGAGTTGTTCTCATGCTAAAGCTCCTGCTCTAGGGCGATCACGATTAACTCCGTCTCCCTCGGTTTTGCCTTGATATCAAATCTGTCTCTTCTGCTGAATATGGCTCGAAGAGTCCGGTTCTCCGTCAGCCAGCCCATAACTATTGGCGGCTGGTATATTGCCTCGGCCCTTTTAGTGGGCCTCACCGTCGCGGTGCCTCGGGTGACGGACTTGCACGGTAGACAGCTGACCCAGGCCTACTACTATGCCATCATGGCAGCTGCCATCTACTTCTTTGTCTCCTCTCTCCTACTGGTTACCGTCTATGGCGCGAACACTGGACGCTACAGCAAACACTTCCACCTCACCACCAGCCAGCGGTCGCTGATGTTGCAGACTATTCTCTACATGATGTACCTCCTGATCGGGGCGGCCATATTTTCTCGCGTTGAGAACTGGAGCTACCTGGATGCTCTATACTGGGCCGATTTTACCCTTCTTACCAATGGAATTGGAGATCTCGCTCCAGCCACACACCTTGGTCGAAGCCTTCTGTTCCCATTTGCCGTTGGAGGAATTCTAACTCTTGGTCTTGTTGTTATGTCTATCCGGTCGATGATGATCGAAAGAGCGAGGACACAGCTTACTGCAAGAACAACAGAAAAGACGAGGAAACTGGTTACCGAGCAACTGCAATCTGGAGATATAAAGAAGCGAATGCTTCAGCCGCTGGCGAATCAAGATAACTCATTGTCAGACAAAGAACTGCAACAAGAAGAGTTCCAGTTGATGCACCGTATACACAAGACCTGTGCCTGGCAGCTGCGGTGGCTTTCTCTCCTAATTTCAGCTTTCGCATGGGCAATTCTTTGGCTGGTTGGGTCGGTTGCATTCTGGCTGGCAGAACGAGATGCTGGCTGGACGTATTTCACCTCTCTATACTTCGCCTACGTGAATCTCCTTACAATTGGTTATGGTGATGTTGTCCTTGGCCAGTCATGGGGAAAGCCATTCTTTGTTCTATGGTCACTTCTCGCTGTCCCGACCACCACCATCTTAATCTCAAGTATGGGTGATACTGTTGCAAAACTATTCCACGATGCCACAATTTTTGCAGGAGATTTAACTCTGTTCCCTCACGAGACTGGTATCAAAAATAGGCTGTTCTCCTTCATACATGGCATGGTTGAATCGCTGCGCCATCGTGGACGTCACACAGAGTATATTAGCGGGCAGCCTATCAGTGATCATCCTCACACATACCACTCAGCTTCGATGGAGAACCTGACTCCACAACACCCGGAATATCAGGATGTAGGTCTGTCTTCTCAAAGATGGTGTGCAATAGTACATGAACTTGGGAAGATTTACAATGATCTCTCATGTGATCCGCCAAAACATTACTCTCATGACGAATGGTGCTATTTCCTCGGTCTTATAGGGCGCGCTGAGGGATGCTGCCCTTTTTCCCAGATACCTCCCACAGATGCGGAATTATCCAATGCGGAAAGGGCTCGCCGTCTATTAGAGAAGCCGCCGGCCCTTGGCTTCAGAGAAAAATGGAGTTGGGTCGGCGCTAAAAGCCCTCTTACAGGGGACCGAAACGAAGCTAGGTGGCTATTTGAAGCTCTACTATTTACCTTAGAGGAGGAGGTAAAATCCCAATGCAACTCTTCCTATGAAAAATCAAATACTTGATACTTTCTAGTACAAGTGAGCATTCATTGCAGGGATGTGCGACTATGGTCTAAAAACAGTGAATGGGGAGGCCTTCTTGAACCACCTATCTTCACAATGAATCCTTTCTAGACACCTTAATATACCTGGATAGACCCGGATCTCCCACATTACAACAATCTGACAAGCCTAATCACTCTATTTGGCCATTTTATGTTTTAAAGCCCGGCGCTCACAGCATCAATAAGGGAGTATACCTTGTCAGCATCATAGCACAGAGAGTATACCAGTGCATCACAGCTTTGGCT